TTGTTTCGACAACTCCGCAATTCGAGAAGTCGAATCCGAGACAGCAGTCCACGCAGAGGAGCTTTTGCCATACAACACCTCAAGCTGACTGTTAAACCCCCTTTGGCGCCTGTAATCTGCTGAGACTTGATCAATCATAGAGTGTAACTCCATGATCAAGCTTGAAACTTCTGGGGCTACAGCTTCAAAGTCGACAGCATTCAAGACTTCCTTCAAGCATGATGGAGCAGTGGGGTCCCCCTCTAAAGTCTTCATCAAGTCCCTCTTGAAGAACTGGGCCTTAACCTTCGCCAAAGCATCATCAAGGGGAGAAGTTTCAGTAGACTTCCCCGACAGGGTAGGAATCTCCTGACTAGCATCAGATGAACTTTTGCTCTCGATGATGGCGTTGAGATAGCTAACAGGGTCAGTTTGTTTCAAGAGTTCCAAATCCTCTTTAGACCTGTGCTTCGTTGAGGTAACCCTTGCAACAGCATTATCTTGGGATTGAGGTTGTTGAGCGTTAGGTGCCTCGACTTGCTGCTCTTCGACTCGGACTGGGGCAGTACCAGCGTCAACTTGTGGCTCGTCGCTAGCATCACCTTGGTGCTCTTCGCTAGCATCACCCTGGTGCCCTTCGACAGTATCACCTTGGTTATCTTCGTCAGCAGCACCTTGATTTTCTTCGCCAGCATTGCCCTGGTCCCTTTCTTCATGATTCTCTTCTGACAGATCCACCACCTGAACCGCTTCTGGCTGTGGTTCCTCCGTTTGAGGCTCCTCCGCTGGTTTTTCTACTGTTTCAGCATTGGCCTCATTCTCAGTATGGGCTTCGTCATTTCCCAAGCCTTTTTCCTGAGGCCTGCTAAGTTCAGCAGATTCCAGCGTTTCAGAGGTCCTTGGCGGAGAACTTTCAGTAGTGTCCTGAAAAAGGAAAGAAGACAAATCTTCAGAGATCGAAAGAGACACAATCGAATATGGGTATCTATACCTAAATTATAAAAGGGTCTAAGAGATTACCTGTGGATTAACTTCAGCCCCAGGGCTGGAATTGTCGCTTTCGACAGGCTTGTTAAGAAGAATGTTTAGTTCCTCCTCAGTTGGCTCCTCAATGATCACTGGAGGTGGCCTAGGCTTTCTCACAGCAACCTTTATTCTGACGGTTCGACCTTCAGGAGCAGGAGTAGGAACAGAAGCATCCTTCGTCAACTTTCGCCTTTTTAAGGGGGCAGGAGGAGAATCGCTTTCTTCATCGCTCCCAGATTCGACCACCAGTGCTGGCCGTTTCTTGGGCGAAGGTGCCTAGAAAACCAATGGGAATTCGATTTAATAATTGCATCGAAAGTCAAGAATCGAAAGCCAGGAAAAAATAATGAAAGTCTGGTTACCGATATAGAAGGCTTCTTCGAAGAGCCTTCCCCCTGTTGGTTGCTCGTGGTCTTCGCCGGCGCTGTAGTCTTCGCCAGCGGTGGAGGTTTTGTTGAAGGGCCTCCTCCCTGTTGGCTTTCTGTAGCCTTTTTGGCTACAGGCTTTCGAACAACTGAAAGCAAATAAAAAGTTAACAGGCTAGCAGTCGAAGAGAAAGGCAAAAAGTAATGTGAGAGCATGAACTTACATTTCTTTATTTTGTCCAACACAAGGACAAAAGACTTCTGCAACTCATCCATGAAGTCCTTCTCGTCGAAGAAGTACTCAGCATAATAGCTTTTCCACCACTCCTCGAAGGATGGTGAGCAAAGGAAATTGAGCTGGTAGTCAAACAGCGAGAGAATTGTTCGACCAGCATATCTTCCGATATGCTTAATGGCCGCTTCTTCGGTGTAATCATTGCAGAAGTACAACATGGACTTATCTCTTTGAAAAATCGGAGAAGGTAGGGTTTGGATAATACCAAACTGGCGAGATACCAGGTTTGGTTGGTACGCAATCAGACTCAAATGAGTCTTAGAGCTCTTGAATCGAAGAGGCATGATCCTTGGTGTAAGGAATGCCTCCCACAGTATTGTATGTTCATCGACATTGGGACCACTCGACGTCCTTGGATGTGGCCTTGTGAACCATGCTGGGCCCACCTGTCGTCGAGCAAATGGAGCCATAGTTGAAACAAACTCCTTCCTTCGAGCGAACATCAGAACGAAGTTGGTGAAGGTTTGCTGAAACTCCAGTCCATCTTCCATAGGTGTCAACAGAGCCAACCTGGTTCCTTCGACGCGTCTGTTAGCTATTGCTGGAGCTTGCTCATTTATCTGAACCTTCTTAGGTAAGAAAGATTCGAAAGTGGCGTTGAGCCACAGTTGGAGCAGCCAAAAAGGCCCAGCAAGTAGCAAACTGGCCCTGTCCTCGATATGTTTTAGAAGAGTTGCCCCATTGCTGATCGAATCATAGAGGCTAGCCAGAATCAGTTCTGCCAAACAGATGTTTTGGCGATGATGCAGTTGAGTAGCAAGAGTGACCATCTTTTTGGTCACCTGTAAAGACTTCGAGCAAAATACAAAGCGAGTCAGCCATAAGGCTAGAAACGCTATGTGTTCGACATCCGACACAGCATCTGTCGACCTGTCATGATAATGGTTGATGAAAGTGGTGTATGTTGGTTTGGTCTCAGAGAAGCCAATTTGGTCCTCCGACATCTCCTCCGGATCGAAGTAATCCCCGGTGGGTCGAAGGCCAGTAATAGCGGCCACATCGAAGAGTGTGGGGGTTAGCATCCCACAGGGGAGATGGAAAGTAAAATGAGAGTAGTCCCAAAACAACAGCGAAGCTATTAGCATCTCCGGGGAGTAGTTTAAACCTGTCTTCGACAGCATCACTAGGTCGAAGATTCCCATATCCTTCCAGATCGAAGTTTGGTGCTTCTCCATCTTTACTAGCCAAGCAACGTAATCTGGGGTAAGGTTAGGGCAAGACCTGAAGGCCCTAACACCTCTGTTGAAGAAGCGGAGGTCGATTTTTTCATGTGCAGGGTCTTCATTGTCTTCTGCGTCTTTCTTGGCGCATGCGACTGGTTTGAGTTTCTCGACTATCGGGAAATAGCTCTTGATCTTCAGAGCCTCAGAGATACTTGGATTCATGGGGCCAGACATTGCAAAGATCTGGTTGGAGTATCCAACCGGGATCATCAAGTGGCGCGAGTAAGCATCGCGAACGGCGATGTCAGAGGGTTCAGGAACCCTTCGTTTGCCTGTAGAATTTACTACCGGAGCAGTGACGAAGACGTTGGGTTTAGCATGTTCAGTTGGTGCGTTAGCACTAGGAGCAGTAGAACCAGATGCCATGGATTAGTATTGAATTTGAAATGAGGATTGAAGATGAAGTGAAAGAGGAAGAGTTTCTGCAAAGATAACAAGCTTGTATGAAAACGGAGAAGTTTGAAAGGCTAGATGGCGTAAAAAGTCCCACAATGGGGTGCTTACTGCTATTTATAGTAGTGGGGAAAAATCCCCAATAACGAGGACATTAAATGCCATTTAATGCTGCAGGAGTTAGTGGGACGCGTGGCAGCCCCCTGTTGTTTTGGCCGTTTCTGCAGAAATAGAGGGACGCAGCGTGCGTCCTCGTTTTTGAGAATTGTCATAATGACAAATTCTGAAATGACGTTTGGTACTGCACGCCGTACTGAAAGTGACGTCCTAGGTACGAAACAATGATGGCTTTCCTGGGATTGCCAATAGTTGGTAGAAAACAACAAAAAGTGCACAAGTTAATTTGTGACTAAGCGTGGAAAGACAAGTGTCGAATGGCGTTTCAAAGAATGCCTTTTTCTGTCAGAGTCGAAATAAGGCATTCTTGGGGGGCAATTTGTTGGCTCCTAAATTCGACACCTTTGTTTTGTTGATGTCAGCCATTAAAGCTGAAAGATGTTTTCGACTGGCTAAGTCTGTCGAAATGCCCGTCGAAAGATGGGAAAGTACTTAGAAGATTTCTTCCAAGGAAGAAGGCTGGTTGCCTTCGACGTCGAAGGAATTTCTCATCGAAAATGTCTCTTGACGAAAGTGTTCGATGGTTCAGAGTGGAGCAGTTTGAAATTCAAGCTTTTGGAGGGAAAACAGTTTCCAGCAGTTACTACGTGCAAACGTGCAAGGATCTGGAGCGTCGAACGTGGAGAACGTGCCAAGTGGATTGATCTCGAAGCAGTGTAACTGCCTGACGGTTACTTGGGATGTTTTAGTATAAATAGGAGTAGACATGTAGTTTCTCGCGTGTGTTCACAATTCTATACAAAGTCACTCATATAGATTCGAGTACCCAGCGTGTGAGAAAGAATTGTTGAGAAATGTATGTGTGAAACACCAATTTTATTAATCAAAGTCATTTACTTTTCCAGAAATTTACTTGCTTTCCTCTTTAAATTCCTGTCGAAACCTTTTACTTTAAGCCTTGTTTATTTTACCAAGTTTTTCCTTCTTGCAATTTACTTGAAACCTTTTATTTAAAGCCTTATCCAACTTAATCAAATTTCAAAATCAACCTATGTCCTAGGATCAATCTGATCGATCCTGCGAGTAACCAAATAAGTAACCATTTGGAGGATCAGCGGTTGTTTACCAAAACCCAAGGTAAACACAATGTAATTTAACTTAGGCTATTATCCGCATAATTTCTGAAAATATAACTCTGATTCCCTCTCATATATATATATATATATATATATATATATCTCCGAGAATAACTTATATTAACAAAAAAAAAGAAAAAGTGGGATAAAAGTATTGTCAAAATTATTTCTCTCTATATGAAACTGAGAAAGTCTTGGGCTGAGTTAGGCCCGCCTTGTTGGATCTTTTTCTATTCCCACCCTTAATACTACGTCACGAAAAAAAACTCTTTCTCTGGTCATGGCGAATTTGATTAACATGTATCTCATGCAGAGGAAAAAAGGAAGCAAATTGCGCCGATTAGTCAAAAGGAGAGCGCATAGAAACGTGTTGTATTTTGGTGAAAAACACTGAGATAGATCCGTGCTTGGATTTTGTAGTAATTCTTTACTGAAATTATCATCGAGAGTAGTTTTGTTTTTCTAAATGAAGGACGATGAAGGTGATGATAGGAAAATCAACGACGATAAATTTGTTCAAGATATCAAACTTTGGGGAGTTTTCCTCTTCGGATTAATCGGCGCCACCGCCACCACCTTCGCCGTGAGTTCTACGCTTTCACAATTCAATTCATTTCTAATAACTTACCTAGTTTTTGTTTCTGTCTTACATGTGTTTTTAGGGTTTGCATCATCAATTTGATTATAATTCATCATCAACAATGTTTTTATCGATTGTTTTTTGAATTTTTCACAAAATTTATTTCACGCCTGTATAATCCATGTAGCACAGACACCTCTGATAAAAAAAGTGTGTCTGAGTCTGTGATTACGTTTAAGTTATTTATTCTTTAAAATTATTGTTGGTTATTGTCGGTGTGGACGTATCCGTGTTGGTGGTGTCTTTTCTGGTGTCAATGCTTCATAGTATATAATTAGATATCTGTATGTGTATAATCTTATATTCTGTGAAGAGGTGTTTTTTTCTTATCTTTGAAGTATTAAGAGATGTGAAATGGAATGAAACTGAGCATGATTGCTATTATTGAATTCTTTGTAGCTGTCCAGGTCGTTGAAAGGAGGGAGTGTCGGTTCTTTTCGAACGGCTTTTCAAGAAGAAGCGTGGAAGAGGTACAATAAGCGACTGCAAGAGGAGTACGAGGAAGAGATGGAGAGAGTGGTGAGTTTTTAATCAATTACTTACGTCTATATTGATTTTATTGTTATTGTGGTAGTTGCAAATTTTGTTGTTCTAAGGAAATAGTTATCGCTTTTAAAAGAGTTTAAGATTGAAGATGTGTTGTGATCTTTCAAACTGGGAAACCTTTTGGGATGAGGCAAATTTTTCTTCAATCTTTATTAGTTGATTGTAGTAATCTGCAAAGAAGTATGGTTTTTTGTTGCTTAGATGTTTGATTTAGGCATTTTTTTTCTTAGCTTTATGATAATCACTTATGGAAAGTCACTTAGGATAACTCATTAGTGAATAAGATATAATAAAATACAAATGATAGTCCCTTATGAATATGATAGCCGCTTGTGACAGAGTAGCTTAAGATTATGGTAATCACTTGTGATGAGTCATTTAGGTAATGTTTCTATCTTCTCTTTATAGGAAAGAATAAGGCGTATGCAAGAAGTGTTTAATAGAGAAAGGAATAAGTATAGACGAAATCCTGAGAACTGGAAGGAAAATGGTTCTGGTACATATCATCAGAGTTTCCCAAGAGATGATTGGTATTGGAAGGCTGAACAAACCTTCAGAGACCAGTGGAAAAATTACCCAAGGGAAAATGGAAGCAATTATTCATTATTATCACACCACTACTCAGTTTTGGGTCTCGACAGGTACTCACAGAAATCTAGTTTTATTTTATATAGCATCTTGTGTTTACAGAAATTAGATCAGAACGCGGTAATACCTTTAAGTATATTCAGTATTTTCAACTATTTTTAGAAATTCAAAAAGATTTAATTATGATCCTATAAAGAATTTTACACATTCCGCAGACCAAGTTGTTGCACTTGTTAAAAATTATGTTTTAAGCTTCTTCTATACTACGTAAAACCTTAATTGCTACTATGATCCGGGCTTTTTGTTTGCTGATAGTTTATCAAAATTAAATCTTCACTATGTTTTGTTTTAGTCATATAGGAATAATTCTAAAGGTGAAATCTTCGGGCCACTCTTGTTGGGTCAATGTCACAAAATTTACTTGTAGGGGGATAAATGCTTCCACTTTAAGTATTCATTCAGACCATGTCTCATCCGATTTAACAAATGTGATTTGGTAGAAACTGCTCTTGTGTACTTGCAAAACTGGAGGGACCATAAGATAGCATGGCTATTATGTTGAGAAATAGAAAATGTTCAATAACAACAGTTTTTCTTAGTGTATACTATATTATAGTACATCTGGAGGGTCAGTAATAACATATCTCAACTTGAAGCAGTACATGACTACGATCTCCCTATAAAAAAATACGTGATTTTGGTATCTGTTCCTGCATCAAAAGTTAGCAATAGCATGCTTGTTTGCATTCATGATTATCAATTAAAGATTTTTTTCTTCTTTTTTATGGATCTCAGGTCTAGAACGACACCATATACAGATGCTGAAGTTAAGGTAATTTCTCTTTTTATCAAAGATATTATTGAATGCTTGCTTTGTGACTATGATGATAGTCTCCTGTCTATTTCTCTTATTATCCTCTGGCTTGTATCATATGGCTACCGATGACACTTTCCGTTGATGTTATTTGACAGGGTAGGGTTAGCACCATTACTACTACTCACATAGAAAACTAGTTTTGTAACTTGGGCACCAGTGATTTGACAGGGTAGGGTTAGCACCAATACCACTTCTTACGTAGAAAACTAGTTTTGTAACTTGGGCACCAGTGAAATCACGGAAAAAATATTGTCTGTGATTTGTGCTCTAAAAAAATTATGAGACAGCCACAATATGTTTGTACATTTTACAAACTATCTTGATTGGCCTCTAGCAAAATCCTATGGTGGTGCCAAATGACCTGTGGAATGCTCTAAAGTTTAAAGGAGTTGATATCATATATTTTCAGACAATACAAACCTGTTTGGCTGCGAAAGGAAGTGTGGCATATTTCTTTGCTTCTTCTTCGCAACTCAACTCAATTAAGAAATGTAAATATGTGGAACTCATGGGAGTTTTTTCACTCTTCTCAATTTCTTTGATAATTAGGTAGAGAAGAAATTTCCCATTTTATTCTACTGTAAAAAAAAAGTAGGGGAAGTCTCCCCTTTCTCTTCTCTTAATCTCTTGCCCTACTCTCTCTTAGCCATTTTTATGAAATCAATCAAAACATACATGGTTTTGATGATTACGAGGCAATAACCATAAGCTCAGAACTTTTATGGATGGCTTTTCTATGAGAAATACCAACAAATTAATAATACTGTCTCTAACATACTTATTATGACTTGCGGGACTTGTATGAATTTCATTCAATAATAGAGTACAATGCTGGCATTGTTATATTTCTCTAGTAGTAGATTTGCATCGATTACTATAAGTTTATACCTTTTTAGCTTGGTTTTCAGCATACTTAATATGCACAACTCTTTTTCTTATTTTGCTATCTATATATTGCTTTGATCTTTGTTAGGTCTTAGTTTCATCGAGAATATTTTATTCTTATCTCTTTACAGACAGCATTTAGGACCAAGGCAAAGCAGTATCATCCTGACCAGAACCAAGAGAATAGAGGTAGGTCTTGTGATATCATTAAGATCTTGTTATCTTAATCTGTGTCATTATTACAAAGATTCATGGATGTGATAATGTGACAGTGGCTGCTGAGGCTAAGTTCAAAGAAGTAATGAGTTCATATGAGGCCATACAACAAGAGAGAAAGAATCATAGTTTGTAATTGCAACCCTGTCTGATAGTCATGGGAACTTGAAGCATGTGAGGTATTTAATACAACAATAATTTTGGGGTCGTGTCTAAAGTTGATGTGGTAGTTTGAGACATGCTGTGATCCTGGTGAGTTTTCGGAGTTCAACTCATCTAAATTTTTATAACAAAAAAAATGTTGATGTAGTTCAGTACTGGTATGCTGTAAACCAAGGGAAACCTTAATTTTGGGCAATTATTACATATTAGTGGTGTTGTATTACAATGAGGTTAGTCCCGGGACTTTGGTTGCTGGTCGCAATGCTTAGACCAACGTGGCTGTGATCTACGTCTTTGCTAAATTAAAGAAAAATCGTAAATAGTAAAGGTAAGTTGCCGGTCACAGTTACAATTTACATCTCTAATAAAATTCAAGGTTTAAACATACACTTGTTTAATAATTTAATAGTTTTTGTACTAATTAGGAAAGCTGCCTGTGCTGGTGAGAATAGCATAACAAGGAAATCCGTTTTTGTAAGGAATTCAAATGAGCATAAGTCATGTTGTAATTTTTATTATTGAGTACAATGTTAATGTATGTATGATTGCTTCTTAATTTTCTTCATTGGTTTCAATATTACATGACAACTCCAATTTCCTTTGGTCTCAATGATGTCAATAGTTTTTTTTTTATATTTTAAATAAAATATATTGATAGGAGAACTACATGTTCTCAATCTCGGTTACAAAAAGCGAGAATAAAACTCGACCAGATAAAAATTACAATCCAATTGAAACTTAGGATAAATAGAATAACAGATTTTTGTTAAACTCGTAAAAGTTACAATTGAGATCGCTAACCAAAACTTTTTGTGATGAAAGACTATCTCCAAGCCAAAACTTTAATGTTCCATTCTGCATCGAGAATATTTCAATTATCATTTCTAAAAATGATGTCGTTCCGAATAGTCCAAAAAGTCCAATATATCGCTAACCAAATGATACCCTCTTTGCCTTTTCTCACCTTGTTCCTTCTACAAAAAGCGAACCACCCCAAAAGCTTTTTTTGAAGCAACAACAAGAGGAAGAATTCATTCCAATCCAATCGGCCACTTCTCGCCAAATCACCACTGAGGCCGTGAATTAAATCTTTAATCAGAAGCCTATTGATAAAGCATCTCCAACTATAAGTCTTAATTTTATGCGGAACATCCATTCTCCAAACCAAATTCATTGCAAATTTATTGCAAATTTGTTACAAGGGCCAAAAGGAATGTGAGCTTGATTGGCAATTGCGTAGAAGCTTTTCACCAAAAACCGACCATCCGTGTCAGCTGTCCACTTGACTGAATCACTGCCAGCAGGGGCTGGAGTTATCGCCTGCAGCAGCCCAAACAGCAGCAAGAATTCTGCTGCATCAGCTGCGATCAAATCCTCCACCGATGGTAAACCAAGATCCCCCAAGACCACACCCCTCTGCTCCAACCACCCATGCAAGCAATCGAAACTTCTTTTAACGCGGAAAGGAAAAACAGCCGAGAAATCTGCCTTTGAGACTAGAACTTTCCACCCAAATTGAATGCCAAAATGAAATAGTAAAACTATTTCCAAGGCTAAATTTACAACTTTTTGCAAACAAACTCTCTGGGTTGTTGTTATCCAAACAAGATAAATCCCTTCACCATATTGAAATATCCTTCTTATTTTGAGATTCACCGGAATTAACCATCTCTAAATTAATATAGCCGTTTCTAGCCTTTAGCACTCTATACCACAAAGCCTCGGACTCTTCCAAGATTCTCTACCTCCATTTTTGAAAAAGCATCAAATTGAACTCTCATCAATTCTTCTCAGTCAGAGTCCCCTTTTCTCGATTGGAAGACAAACGTTTTTCCAACTTATTTAATAAATCTTACTACGGTCCTCCGAACTTCCCCCAAAAAAAATACTTAGAATCTTAGTAATTTTCTTAAGAATTTTGACCGGAGCTTTATAGAAAGAAAACATAAAGATAACAAGATTAGACAAAACCGATTTAAGAAGAGTTATTGTACCTCCAAAATTAAGCAATCGACCCTTCCATACCGCTAAACAAGACTTTAACTTAGCTATTAGATCATTCCGCGTCAAAACTCTTCTAGGAGTAAAGCCAAAACTCAATAGACATCTTTGTAATTGTTTGTTATTAAATAAAATTGATTATGTTGTTTTGATCTCAATCTCAAAAATTAACTCCTAAGGTGTCAAAAGACACATATACATCCATCAGCTTGAAAACCTTATGAATGTGAAACTCATACAACTTTAACACATTACTATTGATCTGACCTGATCAGAAATGGACCGTCACGGCTGGCTCCGAGCTGAAAGTTTTTTGAACGAGGTGGGGGGTACCTGTAAGACACTCCGATGCTGAAGTAAGTAGAAGTACGAGCAGGTAATAGCAAGTGTATGGGTAGAATGATGAATACCTGACCCTCTGGAAACAGAGGGTATTTATAGCCCCCAGCGCTGGGCCAAGGTTCCTCCGTTGGGCCGGACAGGTTTGGCCTAATGGGGGAACTACCAGGTTCTACGTGCGTAGTGGGGACCCGCACGTGGTCCCCTTCCTGGATGTTCTGCGTGAAGTGCGGGCGGACGGAGACGCGGTCTTTTCGGGGTCTCGTTGGGAGTGCAGTGGACTGAGTCTGCCCTAGTTGGGGGTGCTCGAGGTGATGTCGAGCTGGACAGCAGGATGTCGAGCTGGAGATGTAGAGGTCGAGCACGTGACCTCAGGGAGTACGTCGGGCACGACTTTGAACCTTTGGTCGGCGTGGTCCTCAGCAAGTCCATTTGGATTGGGCCTTAGCAATGCTATTGGGCCTGTCGGGCCCAGTCCAGAACAGGAGCCCCCCAAGTCGTGGTTCCTTTGTTAGGAGCCATGGCTTGATCTCAGGTCGTTTCCGCTTCGGGGTCAGAGATGCAGGCCCTCGAGGGCCTCTCCGTGTCGTGCTCGGAGACAAATCTTTCGCGGTGGATGCTCGGAGGATCCTTGCCGGCGCGTGTCTGTCGAGCACACGAGGCATCTTTTGGGAACTGTGCCGCCACCCTATGAAGATAGGGTCATCATTGCGTTGGGAGCGGTGCGTCGAGGATAGAAACTCTGTGGTTGCCCGAGGTGACGTTTGGTATTCCACGTCATCACTATAAATAGAAACCTTGGGCCCCATAACACGTTTCTACTCTTTGCGCTCCTACTGCTGCTGTTCTTCCAGATTTTTCATAGCTGCGATCTTCTGTTACAAATTCTTTTTCTCCGTAGCCGAATCCACTTTTTGATTCAAGTAAGTGACTTATCTTCTTTATTTTCCTGTTGTAATGCATGATTTACAGCGTTGTAGACGTTTTAGGGACTGTGCGCGTGGGACTAGCCCGGTAAACTCATGCTTAGCTCGACATATTCATGCTTAGGACCGGCAAACACATGCTCGTGGCCGGTAGATTCATAGTTTTAGGTAATAATCTGCAGCGCTGCCCGGGGTCTTCATGATCCAGGGCGCCTGATTCATGATCGTGCCCGGTATGTTCATGGTTCTGGCTGTAGGTTTCATGATGTTGCTCGCCATGTTCATACCTTGGGTCGACATGTTGGAGAGTGGCCGCGTTGTCGGTTTGCTCAGGCGGTTTGGAGAAGGACACATCGAGTTATCTGGACGTCGGGGAGACGACTGCTTGTTGCAAATTAACTTTTGTGGTCGTGCATGGAACGACGTGGTTTGTCGTACACTACACCTGGTCCGCTAAGTCGAGCGTATGGTTTCGTGCCCAATTGATTGGTTTCCCGTGCTCTGCAAGTAACCATGGCGGACGAGCCGTGCTCCTCTGGACGCCACGAACATGAGGAACAAGGTGCCGATGAGGCGGTGAGCTTGATTGATACTGTCGATGACCCTTTGTTGGATTGGGTGGGCGTCGAGCCCCGAGGAATCGCGTCGATATATAGTCGGCGTGACCGAAAGCCATATGCTGTCCTCGAAGCAGGCCAGGGCCAGCCTGATTTCCAAAAGAATTTCGTTGTCACGCGTCCGACCTCCCGTGCTCGGATCTGCTCGGTGTACCCAGAGTATAGCTTCCCGATGTACGAGATCGCGTTCAAAGATCTTGGGTTGCAGCTGCCCTTCAGTGACTTTCAGACCGGGGTCTTCGCCCATCTGGAGCTGGCCCCGTCGCAGCTACACCCGAACTCACTCGCCTTCATCCGGGCGTTTGAGCTGACATGTCGCTTTTTGAGGATCGGGGCGACCATACCGCTCTTCTTCAGAATTTTTCATCTGCAGCGCCAGTCCCGAGGAGGGAAACACAGCTGGGTCTCCTTAAAACAGTCGAGGAGACTGTTCAAAATGTACATGGACTCCGTAAGGGGTTTTAAAGACAAGTGGTATGTCGTGAGGCCAGTTACCACGTCTGCTTTAGGATCCCTGTACGAGGAGGAGGCGCCCATAAGCGATGATGACGAGGAGGCGGTCTTAGACAACGATGGGTATCCCGTGATGGCCCGTACAACCAAGTTCCCTGTGCATTGTGTACCGATAAAAAATGTAGCGGGGTAAATCAGAGATCGAATTATTGATTAATTCGTCTCGCAAAAGCAAGAGTCGCCACCGCGCTTTATTGTTTCCAAGGGAAAAGGGGAAAGAGCGAAATAAAACCCTAAATATGCAATGTAAATAATACTTTTTAAAAGTAATAAAAATACAAGGCGTTTTTGAAAAGAGATCTATGGTTCGGGGGTTGGTTATACAGTGGGAAGGTATTAGCACCCAATGTATCTATAGTACTCTATAGGAACCTTTCGAAATATCTGTTTATTAAAATTGATCGTTTGATTAAAAATAAATTGTTTTGGCCGAAAAGGGATACGGACGGGTTTTTGAAGAGACGACGACCTAATGTCGAAGTTTTTGCTTAAAAGGTATAAGTTTTGAAAAGATTGAATATTTGAGGAAAAATTATCCTAAGTTTTAATGAAATGCGAATGTTCGCGCGATTAGACTT